GACGGCGGTTGAATTGCATCTCTGATCCTTTAAAAGCATGCCCTTTATGTGTACCAAATCCATTTAGCTTGACAACTTGAGAGTAGAAATATGCAGATTGCCTTGGGGTTCTTGGTGTGTTTGCATCTTCAAAGTTGACCTGGTGAAGACCAAATCTTTGGCTGTAACTTTGCGGTCCTTCAAATCCATCCATGAGTGACTGCACTGTGAAACGCTGAACATCCACTCCATCTATCAATATTGCTAAGAAATCGACAAAACAACAACACATTAAAGCTGACAATATTTAGAATGCTTTGTAAATGTTTTCTATCAGAGAAATTCCTGACTGACCTTTCAGGGCTTCATTGATGTAGCTCTTCATGTACTCTATTCTATCAGTGTCATTGAGAGTGTCTCCAATGTACTCAGTAGGCATACCATTGCCAGTTATGTGAATTGCCACTTTGGAAACATTTAGGTATTCTGTAGAAATGTAGTTAAGGAGCCTTCTGAGTCCCCACGGTGTAGAATAGATCCAGTCAGAAGCTGTAGAGGACCATGAGGGATCCACATGGGACTGGAAGTCCCCGACCCCTGAAGGACCGGGGGTGCAGCCACCAACACTGTTGTTGACCAACCGGGCGGTATAGTGGTTTAATCCCAAGAAGTCTGCTGTTCCATGTATTCTCTGGCGCTCCTCAGCAGTGAAAACTGGAAGTCTTGCAGGTTCAGAGAGAGAACACGCATTTCTTTTCTGTTCAATCTTAGTCTTGAGTGTTGAAGGATAATCTCCATTTACAAATATAGGATGTGCAAACCAGCCCAGCATGAACTGCAAGTAGCGATCTGCAGCCGCTATGTCTTCAGGTTTGGAGGGGTCCATGGGCTCTGCCCAGTCAGAATTCAATGCAATGCCCACTTTCCCTCCTTGCACCTTCCTGTACTTGTCATTGTAGATATGCCAGGCCTCAGCATGAGACTTAATCATATTATGCGTGGCCTGCAAAGGCAAAATAAATAATGAGGTAAATGTATAAGAATAAAAGACGAGACAGTGAATATTTGAATATTTCCATTATTGTATTTTTTCTCACACCTGATAGGAGGCAACCACATAATCCTTGACTCCAGGGGGATGCTCACCAGTGCCATAGCCAGCATGGCTTACCACCCAGGGGCTACTGAAGGTGTTCCATGTCTTGACCCTGTCTCCAAACCTTGAGAAACAGAAGTCTGCGTAGTCTTTAAAGGCTTCAACAACGGAAGCGTTGGTCCATCCACCGTAGTCCTGCAGTGTCTGGGGCAGATCCCAGTGGTAGAGAGTGACAACAGGTTGAATGTCAGACTCGATAAGAGTGTTGATCAGCTTGTCATAGTAGAGAGGCCCTTTCTCTGATTGGCTACCCCGGTGGCCTGAGGGGAAAATACGTGCCCAGGAGATGGAAAACTGGTAGGTGTTGATATGGAGACCTCGCAGGAGGTAGACATCATAATCCACCTTGTTGTAACTGTCACAAGCTAGATCAGCTGTCTCATGTGCATTGGCTAGGCCGTCATGACCAAAACGGTCCCAAATGGTCTCTCCTTTCCCTCCTTCTGCCCAGCCTCCCTCGACCTTGAACGACTCACTAGAGGTAGCCCATTGGAAGCCTGAGGGGAATGATTCATTGAGGAAAAGGTCTCGCTCTGCTGTGGTCTGGGACTGAAACTTCTGCCACACATGCTGATAACTGTTTGTAAATGTATTCATTCTTTTGGAGTCTGAAATGCCAAGACTGTTGGAAAAAATAAGAACATAAACAGTGTAAAAATATAAGAAATAAGCTTCATCAATACATATAAAAAAATGTATATTTCACCAACAAAAACTGTTACCTGGTTGGGACGTCCTCCATGTCCAGCTTATCGAACATATCCATCATGTCACATCCCATAATATTCAGGTTATTTTTGTTCATTAAGGCTGTGATAAATGCAAGACAAAGTGACAGTTATGTGATCAATCTTATGAAAGAACAATTAAATTATATTACAGCTAATTATGTCAACTCAAAGTACAGCTTAGGCTGCAGGGATGCCGTAAGACTTGCAGGTTTATGGTGTTAAGCCAAATCATTGGACAAAGTAGATAAAAAGTTAAAGAGTCACTACAGTTATCAGGATTTTATCTTGAAAGGGTCATGCGTTTCTGCACCAAATCTAACTTTGTTTTTCTTTAAACTATATTCTTCATCCAACCACCCATGACCACCACTTATGCTTTAACTTCTAAGAGTGTTAGATCATGCGTGTGATTCTCTTGTAAAACCACTGCCGGTACCAAGAAGAACTTGGTGAACACTAACATTCAATAACACTCCCATTGTTATTGTACTGTAAAAGTTAATGATTATTGTAATCACGACAGGCTAGCCTTGATTTGTTTGGTCAGTGAAAACTCAAGAATGGTTCACATTATGATAGAAATGTTCAACTTTTTGGTTGAATTTACTACAGCTATGACTAATTAGTTCTATGCTTTCCACACAAACTAACTGAACACATGATTTTTACGTGACCAAATTTAACTTTGGACGATACTATGTGACAGAACCATGTTAAGTTAGGTATAACGACACTTACCTTGTAAGAAAGTGCCAAGAAGCTCGTATTGACTGTCAGGACAATTGTGAACAGTCACGTTGAATATCAGGATGGGCCGGTCCACATTCAACATCTACAAAATAAGAATTATGCGGCTGTAGTAGGATAGCAAATTTGAAAATAAGGACCTTTAAATGTTTTCTTACCTGTAAGGCGCTCAGCTCCTTTGCAAAGTTGGATGTGGAGGCACAGTTGTACTCAATGTGCACTGACAAGAAATCAGTCTGTTCAAAAATTGGAGACACAGTTATGTTATCCCACTAACATATGTTAACAAATAGAAGTGTTAAATATTCATTGCCACGCGGACTACATTGATACAATTTTTCCTTAGTTGTCACCTACTTTTTAAAGTTTTTTAAAAACGTATTTAATTTCCCTGGCCTATCACCATTGATTGTATCAAGTAACCTTTGCTTATCTATTGAATTTACAGCATTTTGAGCAACTTCTGTTGTATTTGGAATGCGCAATACAAATAGACTTTGTTTGATAATGTTTATCAGAGTGCAGATACAGGCATGGGCAACAAGTTGCTGACAGTATCTTGAGCATGAATTGTTAAAGAGTGATTGATCTAGCTAGATGGAGGAAGCATGACAGGGAAGATACAATGACTTGGAAATAACTCGAAATCTCTTAGTGCAGTATGTCCCCTGCATACACACAACCACTAATATGCTAGTTCTTTTATATTTAAGGTTTCCAGGGAGATGTGACAAAATGTTTCTTTCAAATAATTGCAAATCATACATACTATTAAGGTGAACATGACTGAACAGTTCTTTTAATATTGATTTGCTATTCTCAAATGGTATTTGGAGCCCAATAGCAGTATTATAATATATATGTATTGGTTATATAAAGAAAGAGGAACAGAAGATTCATCTTACTGGAGATGAACCTTTGATCAGGGGAAGAATTGCAGCATCACTAGCTCTCACTCCGATTGACAGACGTCTCTCTGTGAAAATGGACATATAAAGACACTAAGGATCTTTGGTACTTTTTCACTGAAGATATTCTGACAAAATATAAACACATTTCACAGCTGTGCAGAGAAATATGCGCTCACATTATCTCACCTGGACTGACTATTTAGATAAGTATGGTGACCTACACACGTATTCTGTGCAGTAATGGGGTAAAGGGTTGAGATCATCAGTTAGTTGGTAAAGTAATTATTCTTAAGTTATTTCTCAAACAATACAATATGACACTTAAGAGTATCTCTGAAGAGGTCAGGAAGGAATATTTCTTGTATTTTTTCAAAACCGATCCCGCAAAAAGGAGCTAAATCAAACATATTTTCCTCTCCTCCTTCTGGATTACCTTTGTCAGGAAACTGTTGGTGATAGATCTGGTAAATGTTCTTGTTGAGCTGGAGGATATTTTGCAGGGCACCAGGAGCACCTGCAGGCTGCCCGTCATGCCAAACACCATCCAAGTCACTGAATGTCACCCAAGCGTTTGTCAGTGCTCCGAACTCTTTAAAGGAAAACTCTGCATACCACTGAAACATCTTTACTAGCTCCTGACTCTCCCAGCCTCCATACTTTGATCTCAGAGTCTCTGGGACTGTGGATCCATGAAGTACGACCAGAGGCTGAAGGCCCACCTCCAGCAGCTGTTTAAGCAGGGTCTGGTAGCAGGTAACCACCGCCTGCTGTGGTTGGCTTGGCAGGCCTGTAGGTAATAATTGAGCCCATGACAGCGGCACTTTGAAGTGGGTCACCCCGCTGTTCTTGAGGTTCTCAAAGATCTGTTTAGAACCCGCAGGTATAGGATGACTACAGTCGAACATTTCAGTCACCGTATTGCCTAAACTTCTCACCAGCTGCTTTTCCAGAGGGCCAGCAACAAGCATAAAGTCCTCTTCTCCTGTCAGCTCACCGGTCCGGCAACCATACAGGCAAAAAACAAACAGAAATGCAATCCCCAATAGGTGCTTCATTCTGACAGAAAGGATGGACTCATATGATCCACTGACTGCCAAGTGCTTTGAAGCAATTCTGTTTTCTTCTGATTGCATCGTTACATAAATAAGAGATGGGTATCACCACCACGTGATGCAAATTATGACATTTTATTGCATCTGTGATATAGTCAGAAAGACTCTGACCTCGAGTCAAGTTAGAAATGCATCGGGTTCTTGTGCTCATGTCCGACAACCGTGAAATATGTTGTTACTACATGCTTTGAAAAAATTCAAGTTTCTATACAAGCATGCAGACAGTCTGGGAGAGAACATGATATATTTTTAAATTGGAACTGACAAAAATACATCCAGCAGCTAAAGGAAATGAACCTACATGTGCAATGCTATCTCCTACACCAACATCCAGGACCCGCCAGGTGTGCAGCTGTACACCTAGATGGGCCGGCTGACCAAGGGAGGAGTCAGCCTGCCCGTTTATCGCTGCGCGAGGGGCTCCACCTCTCTGGAGTCCTTCCACCTCCACCTCAACCGGTTCTCCCAGGTACCGGCATGTGCCTCACAGCTTGTGACAAAATGTAGTCTCTATTTAAACTTGAAGAAAATGCAAACTCTGATCCAAAACCCCCCTTCCCCAGAGACCCGAGCCAAGCACTTCCAGGCGTTCCTGGTGGATGGACTGGTGAGGTGGAACGAGGACCGCGCAGCAGCAGCTGCATCACCACCGGCTGCAGACGAGGGACGGCTGGGACCTCTGCACTCCTACAGTGGCCACATCAAGCACGTCCTTAACCAGAGGAGCCAAAGAGTGCTTGGTCTTCAGATGGTTAAGGACTTCACCGAGCCGGCTGAGTACACAGGTATGCGATGTGAAAACACCTCATCTCATAACTGACAGCAAAACAAGCCTCTACTGAATCCTTCTCTGTGTGACAGGGGAGCTCATCGGAGTGGAGTACCTGTACCAGCAGACCGGCAAAGTGCTTGAGGACGTCAGCCTGGACCCTGACACTCCGGACGAGGCTCCTGCCATCGAGGCGCTGGAAGAGGATGAGGGCATCGAGGAAGACGTAGCTGGAGGAATACTCCATCCTCCAGCGTGGCAGCAGCCCGGTCACGTGATCCAGCTGACGCACCGTCTGAGCCATCCCCTTCAGGTCAAGTTGCCCCTCCTGAGGCCCCAGAGTTTCAGGACCCTGATCCCCAGCAGCCCTCCTCAGACTCTGAAGTAAGTTCAGATACTGATGATTGTGAGATAGAATCTCTTACAGCACTATTTGCTTACGGGCTTTGTTCCTCCTTGTTTCTTCTCAGACGGACATCCAGGGTCCTCATGGCCAGCCCGGGTACCGGAACGTCCTGAAGCTGGCCCAGGCGCTGTTGGAAGGGAGGAACCTTCTGGGGCTGTCTGAGAGTAGTGTAGACCGACTCATCCTGCTTTGGACTCGCTTGGCGGAGCAGGACAAGCGGCGAGTCGACTACCCTCCCAGATACCAGGAGAGGCAACCAAAGGGGCGGTTCAAGGCAGCGAAGGGGAAGAACACCTCCTGTGCTGGAAAGGAGATTCTCCAACGGTGAGACTCCTTTAGAGCAGGAATCTTTCCTCTGGTACATATCTGCTGTGTACTGACCCGCACTCTACTCCTCGTGACTCTTTCAGCTGCCTCCTCGGGGTCAACTCGGGGCCTTCCACTTGGCCCAGCACCAGTCGCCTGGTGGAGGCCATTTGCACCCTCGCCTGGTGGAGGCCATCAGAGAGGTAGTGCTGAGCACCCCGAGGCTGATGGCTCAGACGGACATCCAGCTCTTTGAGCTGAACCACAGGACCCTGAGCCAGTGGTGAGTTTAACGTGAATCTGCTTTGACGGGTTCTGGTCTGCACTCTGATTTATCGCTGGATGAAGAGCCTGACGACATTCTGTGTTTGTCTCCCAGGTTCTCTCGCAAGCAGAGGGGGTTGGTCTCGGCTGTGCTTCAGCAGGGAGCTGCCGTCATCCCTGCAGGTGTCGCAGCCGAGCCCCTCCTTCCCGTCAAAGGGCTGTCCTTTGTTCAGGTGGGACAAGGACAGCCCTACCAGTATGACGTGCCGGATGAGAAGCCAGGACCCTCATCCGGCGGCCTTCCTCCTGCTCCTCCTCCTCCGCCAGATGGGGAGCAGCCAGGGCCTTCTGCTCCTCCAGACGAGGAAAAACCTGGACCCTCGTCCAGCGGCCTTCCTCCACTGCCCCTGGGTGTCTTCCCTGGTCCTGCCGGTCCACCTCCTCAACTTCCCAGAGAATGTAGGACCACTGTCTGGAGGAAGAGGAAGGTGGCCGAGGCAGCGGCTGCTGCAGGTCAGGTGTTGCCACCCAAAAATCCCCGTCAGCAGTACACCTGCTCCAAGTGTGGCCAGCCCAAAAAATTAGAAAGTGGCCACAATCGGCTCTACGGTGTAGCCTACTCTGCTGCTGTCGGGGGCAATACTGTGGAGAAGTGGAGGGAGGAGGTCTCATAGCGGGGGGAAATTATTTAGGGTTGTTTTATTTACAGTTGTTATAGTCTGTTATTATTTGTTATTTAAGCTGTTAAAGTCTTCTGCACTTGGTTTTGGAAGCTTTTTCATTTCATACATACCTCTCTAATAGGGAAATCTCCATAACTTGCCAACATTCTCTCAATATTTGCTCTCAATAATAAAACGTACAGCATTATACATGAGCAACTACTACTCATTCGTAGTAATGTCACCTTACTGAACATTGTTATATTGTTTCACAGTAATGAATCCATAGTACATGCGTTTAAAGTGCGCAGGGAGATCTCCAAACAGTTAAAAACATTTCACAATTAATGAGGGATTTTGACTCTCTCTTGAATCTCACCTGTAACGAATCAAGATTAGTTTTAATTGTGAGTTGTGAATAAATAATTTGGCTCTGCACAAACACCAAACAAGCTCTCAATCTAATCAAAACAATCTGATCCATAAAATAAAAAATAAATAAAATATTACTCGATACCGGTGTAAAATCATTGAACAGGACATTTGTTACAGCTACAACCATCATTTAGCATCATTACCGGCACATTTAGACCAATGCATCCAGCTCGCATGCCGGCTGGTGATTTCCCGCCATAGCAGTCAAACGTTTGGCGTCGGGGCGGGTGGATGGGGGGGTGTGGGGAGATGGAGACGGTGCTTTCAGGGTCCAATCTATGCTGCGAGGTGCGTCCGCTCCCGCCGCCCCCCTCGCCATCCACGCCTTAAATCTTCGGCTGCTTTTAGAATAACTTATTTTCCCCGTTAAGATAGTTCAGCTACTGTAGAGAAAAGGGCACCGTTTCTCGCTCTTTAATCTCATTAAATGCTCGGCAGGAACAACAGCTTTGTTTCTCCGACGCCCCCTGAAACAAGCTCCATATCACACGCGCTTGAGCGCCCGCTCAGCATCTCGCCGTCGTAGACCGAGCTTTGGCATGTTTGACAGAGCGCCTTGAGCGCCGTGTACAACCAGTATGGATCAACCGATTAACCAATTGATCCATATATAAGGCGCTCCGGATTATAAGGAGTACTGTCGTTTTTTGAGAAAATTAAAGGCTTTTAAGTGCACTTTGGAGTGTGGAAAATGCAGTATATATTAATTTAATACTACAAGAGGGCGCCCTATTTGTTGAACAACGACAGGCGGACAAGAGCAGCAGTTTCGAGCGAGAGCCTTATTGTTTAATTAATCTCTTAGTTTAAATTGTTTGTGCTTCATCAATTAATGTTTCACATAACTAATGTGCCGCATCATAAATATTTTTATATTAATTTAAAACTTCAAACTTGGCGTCCTCGTCAAATCAGAGGGGGTGTCTGATGGGACAGCGCTGGGTTTAGCGCCTTTGAACGGACTGGTCCGTTCTGCACTTTTTTTGCACTTTCTTGTTTCTTGTTCCTTGGTTGAAATGCACTTATTGTAAGTCGCTTTGGATAAAAGCGTCTGCTATATTACATGTAATGTAATGTGTAGCTGTTTGGAAATCCTGGAAATTTCAACTTTGAAAAAACACTCAAAGGCTAAATATTTGTTTCCCAATAACTTTGTAACTTCAAATGTCTGAGCAATAAAGAATGTCCAAACAATTCTTAATACTTTGTTTAGGCCTCAATGGCTACATAAGAATGTGCTTAATGTCACTGAAATTATAGACTTTCTAACCCTAAAAGAAGAAACAATTTCAGCATAAAACAACAACAACCTCTGTTCAATGGGAATGGTTGGTGTATTGTGCAACGATTGCATCATGCCTTAATGTTACCAACTAAAATTGTTTCTCGCAATTATAATAATATTACATTTTATGGCATTTTGGTTGATCAGGTCCTCTGAGGGGTTGCATCACAAATATTTAATCATGGAAAAAGAAATTGCCTCAAACAAACAACACCAACCAGGGAATAGTTGGTCTGTTGTGCAACGATTGCATCTTGCCTTAATGTTACCTTGTTTCGTCTCACAGTAGCATCTGATTGCACTGATGTCAGACTGTGACACTAATAAGAGCAGGTGTGAAAGTTGCCGTGGCTGCAGAGGTACACAGCGACAGGTAATGGCCTTCATGCCGAAAGCTGTGAGGCCCAGTGGGTCTCAATGTGTGTGCGCATGTGTGTCCATAACAACGACAACAAACTCAACTCAACTCCAACAAAGGTTTTGTACACTGAACAGATACTTTCAAACTGGAACAAACATGCATAATTTGCAGATGAACATGCCATTGTCTCATTTTATATTTGATTAAGAGCTTGAAATGATCATGTGAGCATTGATTACACTTATTATCAGCTCCAGTGCCATCAGAAATACAGTTGTATGTAGAACTATGATGACAATAAAGATCAACAGACCACGTAAGGTTCACAACAAGTTCACCATAGAAGGAATTATGTTCACAGCGTCATAAAAACGGGGCCTAAAATATGGAAGGTCTGATAAAACACAAGATAAGATAATGAACAAAAGAAAACTCAAAACTCCTCATATTCATATTCCAATATATTTATATTCTATATTCGTGGTGTGGGTGCAGGGCCCACAACTGTCCCTCTGGTGCGTGTGTGTCTTATCCACACCTGCTGTCCAGACTGAAGAGGTTGCAGGGTTTGAGTGAGTGTCTCCGGTTGAACGTTTGTTGCTGTTGCAGTTTCAATGCAGTGTCCTTTTCTCTGAATTCTTTGAGATCAGGCCACTGTGGTTCTAGCTGCAGCGGTGACACTGGGACTAGCCTTGAAGGCCAGCAGAGCTTTGTGGAAATCTTCCTCTTTCTCTAAGAGAGACTTAACAGTTCTGATGGCCCTTTTAGCCTCCACATTGCTGCAGGGATAACGGGGGCTGCTTGTCACGTGTGTAAAGTTATAATCTCTTGCGAAATGAGGACCGTTGTCCATGATTAGCACTTCTAGGCATCGATACCTAGTAAACACAGCTTTACATCTTGCAATAGTCTGTTTAGCTTCTGGGTAGGGTGCGAACCTCAATATATCATGACTAAATAGTTCCCATTCTGCCATTGGAAAAGATCTGCTGCGACCCTCTGCCATGGTCTGCTCGGGAGGTCAGTCGTGAGCAGAGGCTCGACAGGTGTCAGCTTCATGTGCACAAATCTCACATCTGTTGACCATCTGCTTTACAGCAGACGTGATGCCTGGCCAACAGATTGATTCTCTTCTCCCTAGCTAGGCATTTGTTGAACCCTTGATGTCCCTGGTGAAGTCTCTGCAGAATGTCAGGTCTCATGTGTTATGAATCTCTGAATCTGATAATCCTCGGTGGAAGGTCATCCGGTGCTCTGGACTTGAGTGTTATGAGTGGCTTGTCTGTTCTTATGGTAAAATCCAGGACGCTCAAGTATCCGCACAAGCACTCAGGTGCCCAGGTCGTAGCTAAAGCCTCTTTTTCTATTTGAGTATATCTTGACTTCTGAGACCAAACTTCTTGAAGACCACAGGTCTCCTCCACTCACCGCCTAGCTGTCTTTGTGTCAAGACGCCTCCTAGTCCATACGAAGAGGCATCCCCTGACACCATGGTCTGGGCTGTATTGGGCTAACACAGTGTCTGACTCCAACTCTTTCTTAGTGTCCACGAACGCTTTCTGTTTGGGTTCTCCCCATGTTCAGCTGTTCTCTGTCTTCAACAGATTGCGAATGGGCTTTGTCGGGCAGGCGTGGTGAATATTTTACTACAAAGTTCACCATGCCCATAAAAACGGCGAACATCTGTCACATCCTTTGGCTCAGGCATGTCACAGATTGCCTTTATTTTGTCCGGGTCAGCTCTGATGCCCTGGGAGTTTATGACGTGGCCCAGAAAACGAACTTCTGTCTCTGTCTCTTTCTGTAGCATCCCAAGCAGCCTATCGTCGTGCAGTCCTCTGGTGTGATGAACGTGGTCAACAGCATTCCGTTGATGGAGGGGTACTACCAAAAGCCTGATGTTGCGTCAAGCTTTGTGAAGTCTCCAGTTTGGCCAGCGTCACGTCCACTGCCGGTAAGATGTGTCTCTCTCTGATGACGCTCTCGTACAAATGGGTTAATCTACACAAATCTACACAAATGCGTAGATCGTCAGGGACGTTTTCACAATAGGGATCATGCCTGTACTCCGTTCCGTTGGTTCTTCCATACGTGGTTTTATGTGGTTTTATTTCCTGTCTTATTTTGTAGTCTTCTGCTTCTTGTCTCCCTGGGTAACTTCACTTCCTGCCTTGTCCTGTCATCGTCTGTGATTGTCTGATCGTTTCCACCTGTGTCCATAACCTGCACCTCCCTAGTGTATTTAAGCTGTATGTCTCTTGTGTCACTTGTCGTGTCATTGTCAATCGTCCTGAATGTTCTGAATGTGCCTGCCTTTTTGCCCCCTGTTCCTGTGTGTGTTTTAGCCCGTTGGCCTTTTGGTTTTTGCCCGTTTTGACTATTAAAGTACTTTTTGAGAGCAATTAGGGGTTAGGTGTCTTGCTCAAGGGCACTTCGACATGGAACATGGGGCAGCCTGGACTCGAAACAACAACCTTGTGCTTCCCAGCACACCTTCCCTAACCCCTGCGCCACAACGACCCCCGTAGGTAGGTTGAGCAGAAGTGGGTCTCTGCTTTGTCTATGCTATTGTGCTGAGGAATCATCTGCAGTCTGCGAATGGCTGGCAGGCCCAATAAGGGTGTGGTCATATCTTTCACGATGACCACCTCACCCTCAATCTTTCTGTTGCCTCTCTGAATGACAGCATGCACTTGCCCTTTAAAATCCAGAGGTTGACTGGCAGGGCCCAGTAGAGGTCAGCGTGTCACTGTAGCTGCCGTATTTATCTTGCGTGTATTCTGTTTCTGGAATCGCAGTCACGAGCCACCATTTATGGTAAGCATTTCATTTCATGTAGACGACTGTGGATGGTCAACAGCTCCTAAATAAGCCGCCACATAATTCTAGCTTTTGAGCTGATCTGCACACAGATGCAAAGTGTCCCTCTTT